TATATATATATATATATATATATATATATATATATATATATCATATAAATATATTTTGCAAAACCAAATCTCAAACATAGTTGAAATCCATTGCTAGTAGTTTAGGTTTCTATTACAGAGATTGCAAGCCTTATCATTCACTTTGTCTAACAAAGGGGTTGATCCTATCACTATGATCACCCACTCAGATGAATTTTTAGACTACCCCAACATACCCAAGTTTTGACCCTCAATGGATCTCATTGATTGGCATATGAAAGACAATCCAATCCAACACTTAGTGTAGCACCATAATCAAGTCTAGGGGTTATGTGTAACTTTTTAGTTTTGCCCATCAATCTCTAAAGTCCAGGGCATAATTGGAAAATGATCCGAGTTCAGTGTTTCAATCAAACACACAATACATGTGCTTTGGGTCTGACCCTAGCAGTTAAGACAAACTATCTTAACTTCTTTGGCAACACATTAGTATCAGCCTTGGTAGGATAAACTCCCTGTGTCTATCCAAATAGCTAAGAACATTCTAAACTAACACATCTCATAAATGTCTAGTTTAAGGGGTAATTTCACAGAAACATACCAATATTAACATGAAACAATAATGTATTTTTATTCATTTATAATAAATGTATCTATATATCAAACTAATTGGAGCTAAGGGCGTACATTGTCTAACAATTATATCAAAATAAACTTTTCAAATATACATTTTAAAATGGAAAATTCAAAGCAGCTTCACTATATCCATAACTCCAAAAGAATTCAAAAAAGTAGAAAATGTTTATAGAGAATTGTTTCTAACAATTCAAAATTTTGGAACTGCTTTTAGATTTAATTTTAGATTTACTCAACAACTCAGACTTACCAAAGAAAACAATAGTATAGTACCTAGATTTGCTTTTTCTTTCTTTGATCTTTTGGCAATCATATAGCTAGAGTAATACCATTTAAGTGTTTATTCCAGGTGGAGGGGCGGTGCCCAAACCTAAGGAATTCTTCCTGAAACACTCTACCCAATTCAAACAAAAAAAATTAGAACATACAATACCAAATTCTTAAAAAACCAATCAGAACATATAGTACCAGATTCTTAAAAAACCACCAATAACATCTTCAAAAACTAGATTTTTTAGTTGATGAGGAAGGTGAAAGTACCCAATTCACTTTTCTTTGGCAAGAAATTCTTTTAAAAATCTTGTATTTTATATTATTTTTTATGTATTTGCATTGTACATATTTTGCATTTCTAAAGCTTCAATTATATCTTAGAATAAGGTGGTATTCAATAGTTTTAACAGAATTTATTCTATAACACCAAGTTTTTTTCCTCATTTTCAGATGTTTGCGATAATTTGATTTGGATATCAGAACCTGAAAATACCTTAATTGGACAATATTATCATTTGTGTAGTTTTGTTATTGACCAATTAACCCACTCCTACATTATCTCTTTAAAATAATATAATCTTTACCAAAAAATATTAAATCATAAAATACAATATGCTTATTATATTATGTATAATATTATTGTGTGTATATATATTATAATCTAATAATAGTTAATATTTGTTGAAAATACTATATTTAATAAGCCATATCTTTATAACTAGCGAAACCCGTGCGTAAAAGTTACAAACATGGGTAGATATTTTTTTATACTTTATTTTTTTAAATAGTTAATAATTATTTATATTTTATATAATAATTTTAATAACTTATTTGTAATATAAAAATAACAATAATTAATTTAAGGTAGGTTCAATCAAGCCAACCAAAACTAACCAACCCGAGCTAATTCAACTTGAGTTTCGTTTTTCTAGTATTTTTGGTGGCTTGCGTTTAGTTTTACTACATGCAAAACAACCAAAATCAAATCAACTCAAAATATATTAATATATATTTTAAATACATTTTTTAATATGGAAAGTGGAAAATTCTCATAATTTGTAGTTTAAAATATTTTATATTTTAAATTTAAATTATTTAATTTATTTCTAATAATATCATTGTAAGTCTTTAAATTTAAATTTAATTTTTTAAGTATAAATCTTTTGAAAGTCAATTAGATTGAAAATTGACCTAAACCAATACAACCCAAGTTGGCTACGTTTTACAAATTGTTGGCCAGTTTGGGGTGACCAACTTCCTAACCGAACCAAACCTTGTGAACACTCCTAATTTCAGTTAAATTAATATTCTAATGTCTAATAAATAATAATAATTTAATCTCCAATAGTTATTTAAAATTGTAGTGAAAATACACACTTATACATATATTTATTACAAAAATACAATAAATAACTAATAGAAATACAATAAGTATAATAATTATGAAAATACAGTCAATTTTGAAAATATATTAAATTAGTCAATAAATAGTGTAATCTCCAAGTTTAATCTCTACTATATATTAACAAATAAATTATAATGAAAATGCATAATTACTAATAGTAAATTTTTAATAAAAATATAATAAATATAAATAAAATAGTTAAGTTTAAATAGATAACAATAGCTTAATTTTCAATAATTATTGAAAATTTTCTGTTAAATAATAAAAAAATAGATTTACACATAATTATTCAAAATATATTTATTATGAAAATAGAATAAATATTAATTTTACTATATATAAATATATAATAAATATAAATAAAAATTTTAATATTATAATTAATAAATGTTAATTTTTTTGAATGTTATTTTCTAGAGTTATTAATTGTGTAAGTGAAATAATGTTTTCATTTTTAGTACATTAATAATTGTAATTATTATTTTACTTTTTAATATATTTTAAAAATAATTTTTTGAAAGTTATTAGGTATTTTTGTTATTTGGAAGCTTAAATACCTCTAAATTATTTAATCTATTTTTCATTGTATCAATAATGTTTTAAATTTTTTAAAATTATTTATATTTTTTATTTTTTATCAAATATTGTTAAATCTATTAGAAACTTTTGCGTTTTTGATAAAACTTTTTAAATTTATTACATAATTTTGTTATTTAATCTATTTTCTTGTTTTTTAAATAATATTTAAAATATGATTTAGTTATTAAATTTTTTTATATTTAAAAAATAGTTATTTACTATATTATTTAGTTATTTTATAAATTATTTGTATTTTATATTCTTATTAATATTATTAAATTTGTTATAATTATTAATTTTGTACAATATAATAATATTATTAATTCAGATATTATGAAATATATTATAATTACTTTTATAATTTTTAGAAACTTTTTAAATTTATTACAAATAACCCATAAAATTACAATTTATATGTTATTACATATATTCATTATGAATTTCTTAAAAATATATAACTATTAGTAATGTGAATATTATTAAATTTATTATGATTATTTTTTGTGTTTTCAATAAATAATTTAAAGTTATTCCATAATTTTATTATAATATTTAAATGATTGTTAAGTTTTTTAATTAAAACTTTCTTTAATTGATATAGATGAAAAGTGGGGGAGCGGATAAATAGAAAATAAAGATCATTTAGGAGAAATGGGGGATGGTGTTGCCACTTTGCTAGACATTAGAAAAGCAAATATGTCTTTCTTGCCTTAAAACTCTCTTGCCACGTTGCCTATTGAGAGGCCCCTGATAGAATGAAAAGAATCAAGGGAGAGACTCAATGATATTGATAGGGAACAGATGTGATAAGGTAGGAGAAAGGAGAGAAGGGGAGGGCTGCTGATGTGGACCATGTCTCTCTCTCGCTCTCTCTCTTTCTCTCTCTCTTATATGTTTATATAGATAGTATAGATGGCATATATAATAAAATAAATTATATTTCTTTTGTTATTTTAACATAGTTTATGTTATATATTCAAGGGGCAACAGCAAATTTGTTTTTAATAATTAAACTTTTAAGAAGTTTTTTAAGAACTTATTTTTCTGTGCAAATATCAATGTTTAGATTTACTAAACATCACCTAATCAAAACCCTTAGGATGCATTTGAAGAGTAGGATTTTGAGAGGTTATTGAAAGTTACAGTTTTAAATTCGAATTGCTAAACGAACTCAAATTCATTGGAATTAATAACCCGAATATCCACCAAACTTTTCTTTATTTCCACATCTTGGAGAATTGTATAAAAAAAAAAAAAAAAATCAACCTAACAACAAGAAACCCCTCTACTCCATACTATCTTATATAGTTTGAAGCAATTAATATCCATCATGGTTTCTCAAGTGTTAAATAATGAAGAGAAAATGAGATTAACTACTATCAATATGATAATCATTAATATTACAGTGGTTATTTATACCATAAGTGCTGTTTGCAATGTTTATACCATACTACTGCAATCATGTTGCTTACGGGATTGTGAAGTATATATGCTTTCTGCAGCATACATTCCATTCATACATGTTACTTTGAGCCTCATTTTCTTAGTAGTAATTGTAAATGATCCTCAAGAAATCAATGAATGCCTTGTTTTCCTTAAAAAAAAAGTGCAGTTTGGTATATCTTTGTTTAAGGCCTTCAAATATCTCTATGTTTTGAGAAACTGGCAATTATGAACATACTATCGTTGGCTGAATGCCTGAAACAGTACATTTGCTAGTGTTTTCGAAGAAGTTGGTCTGGGCGCAACCCACCTACGGTCACTAAGTCAGGTCGTGGCCCATTCAAATTTTAACAAATGCTCAAAACGAGCCTTCCCAAGCTAGACCTCTACATATCATCAGCCATAAAATGACGACGCTCCAGATCACCACTAAGCAAAAAATGTATTCTTTTGCTTCACCGTATCAGCCATCTTACCAGCTTGCACAAATATATCTACTGAACGAGACAGTTTATATTGTGTTTACGGTTCTCTCTTTCTTAAAATCAGAATTGGAATGGTTTATTCCCATATCTGTTGGGTTCATACAGGAATCTGAATCGGAAATGCAATAAATTGGAATGGGATTTCATTCCCAAGGGAGTTGAGGGAATGCCATTCTCTCAACAAACAGAATAGTTGAAATCAGAATGACCCTTTCCAATTCCGATTCCAGACCCTTATTCTCATGAACCAAATGAGCCCTTAAAGTGAACTTCATTACACGATCCACCTGTCTGGTTCCTTTCTTTACAAGCAAATATTGTAAATGGCTTGTTCTGGGTCTGGGATATATAACAGGTAAAATTATCTGGGGTCCATATGCTAAAAAGAGTATGCTGATGTTGTTTTGTTATGCCACGTTAACTTTTGACTAAGATGGCTGTATTGACTATTTAGTTGGGCCAAGTAGAACTATTTAGGCTGATATAAATAAGTCCAATTTTGGTCGGTTTATTTTATCCAGCCTAACCCAACTAAAACAAGTTTATTTTCATGTGATTTATTTCTTTTTTTTGTTGTAATATAATAATCCTTATGGTTGGCTTAGATCGAGAACCATCAAGTTTGCAATCAGAAGTAAATCAGCCACTTCTAGTGTCATGGGATGCATCTATTTCAAGGGCTGATTTCGTAGTGTCAAAGGATGGATCCAACAGTTATAGAACCATCAATTCAGTAGTTGCTGTACTTGAGAAAGGAGGTGGTAATCGAGGAAAGAGAGTGGTGATCTATGTCAAAGCAGGAGTTTACAATGAGAACGTGGAAATCAAAAGGAATATGGAGAATGTGATGTTCATTGGTGATGGAATTGACAAAACAATCATCACTGGTAATCGGAGTGTGCATGATGGTTCCTCAACAATTAGTTCTGCCACCTTCGGTAAGTACATAGTTGGATTGAAACATCAATATTGGTACAAACATTAAGACCCTATTTGATTGAGCTTTTGCTTTAGATCTTAAAAACAAAATTGAGTCATGTTTGGTAAGAGTTGCTTTATAATCTCAAACCAAAGTACATTATAAAGCTAACTGCTTGTTTGGGAGGGCTTTTTTAGTAGTGGTTTTACCATTTTGAGCTGGGCCTCTCCTGGATTGAATATAACTATAATGCTCTGTTTGGGAGCGATGCAAATAAAATTTGAATGCAAATATGCAGAGTGTAAAATGGTTCATATAAATGCAAAGTTGGGTTGGTTTTGTATTGATAAATTTTCTTTCTTACCACTAAGACTTTTAGCTGTAATGGATGTAAACATGAATGCGAAAATGTAAACTTGGATGTACATTTATATCTCATTTTGGATGTAAACTTGCATTGGAAAATGTATTTTCTCTCATTTGTGAATGCATAAATGCATTCTTGCCAAACACTGGCAAAACTGAACCAGAGTACACATTTACCCTGAACCCGGGATTTATAATCCATTCGCATCTTTCCTAAAAGGAGCCTAAAGTAATGTTTGGTGAAAATTCGAGGAAGTTCAATTTGTTGTCCTTTTGTCCAAAAAACAGGACTTTCCCTTGAAGCTTCTAAATTGGCACATTGGGGCCTAAATCACTAGGTTGATTCATTTGAGTTAAACAACACCAAATGTTTGCATTGTACAGGTGTGTCTGGGGACGGCTTCTGGGCAAGGGACATGACATTTGAGAACACAGCCGGGCCTGAAAAGCATCAAGCAGTTGCCGCAAGGGTTGGCTCGGATCATGCTATCTTCTATAGATGTAGTTTCAGAGGTTATCAGGATACCCTCTTGGTTCACTCTCAGAGACAGTTTTACCGTGAATGCCATATTTATGGAACACAAGACTTCATTTTTGGCAATGCTGCTGTAGTGTTACAGAATTGTGACATATTTGTCAGGAGGCCCATGGCACACCAATCCAATGTCATTACGGCCCAAGGAAGGGAGGACCCAAATGAAAACACTGGAATCTCAATTCATAGTTCGCGTGTGGTACCTGCCACAGATTTAATTGCAGTGAAGGGATCATTCAGGAGCTACTTAGGCAGACCATGGAAGAAATACTCCAGGACTGTGTTTTTGAAAACGGACCTTGATGGACTCATTGATCCAAAGGGTTGGACTGAGTGGAGTGGAAATTTCGCTTTATCCACTCTTTATTATGGAGAATACATGAACTATGGAAATGGAGCTTCAATTGGTGGTAGGGTGAAGTGGCCTGGGTTTCATGTGCTGAATAATCCTCGTGATGCAAGTCCTTTCACAGTTGGGAGTTTCATACAGGGAAACTCATGGATACCAATGGCCGGCGTGCCGTTCTCAGCTGGGCTATAAGATAACTTTAGTGTTAGAAGAGCTACTATTAAGTATATGTATGAATGTGTACTGTAGTTGAACATATTAGCTATCAGTAGGCAGACAATCCAAGTACCTTTCTAACTTTTTTCTTCTAGCTTAATTTTGAGTTAAACCTTGAAATGATTTACTTCTTTTGAAGCCCTATATTTAATTAATTTTTCTAGAATAGATTAACTCGTGGTAAAGACGGATATAGGCTTTAGCTCTAAAAATGATCCAAACCATCAACTTTTTATTTCTCTTTGAAGCTCTGATTGCTTCATAAATAGAATTCATGCATTATATGGTTATTGTGTTAGGACAACAGTGGTTTATTTTTAATTTCTTTAATTCATTAGGCCAAGTTTGGAAGGAGTACAAATACAAATATGGAGAGCACAAACAAATATAAAATAATACAAAATACAGGGTTTTATATTGTACATTTTTTGTACTCTTTCCAAATTGAGCCTTAGTAAATAATGTGCTAAGCAATTTAATTTTGCGTATTAGGTAGTGTCAAACAAGATCTCCTTTGGCAGCGTTTGTTTGGGGTGAAAAATCAAACCGGGGTAAATTTTATACCCCAGTTCGATTTTACACACGTTTGGTAAACACATAATTTTACACCAAAATTCAGTGTAAAACCCATCGGTTCTATCATCGAGGTAAACTCTTCTCACTCTACCCTGGTTGTCTTGCATGTCCCTCTCCTCCGTTAATTCTTCATCTACTCCGTTAGCTCTCTTGCCAGTGGTGTTGCTTCTCTTCCGAACATCCGGTAATCTCACTCTCTCTCTTTCTCTCCCACTTTTACCTCCTCTCAGTTCTCCCTCTCACTCACACTCTCTCGCTCTCTCACCCCCTCTCGGATCTCCCTCATTGATATGCTCTCTTTATTGCAAATCTCAGCCTATATTCAAGGGAAATTGATGTGTGTGCATGCTACACATTATTTTTATTGCTCTCTACATGGTTTTGATGGTAATTCTTAATGGTTTTTACCCTAATTGAGCAAGATTTCAGGAAACTAAGAGTTTGGGACAGTCTAGGGTGAAGAGAGCGTGAAGACATGCTGATATGGCGAAAAGGGAAGCACTTCGGCCCATCAAGAAGAAAGGCCCAGCCGAAACCCTATGGGAGAACACTTCAACCCACCAAGGAGAGAGGCCCAACTGCAGCCCAACCAAAACCCTATGGCGGCGACAGGAGGAGAACTCTAGGGACGAAAATGGCTGAACTACTTTTCTTCTCTCTGGATTTTGAATGAGATCTAATCTCAATTCGTAGGGAGTTTTCTTTTTACCAAAACCCTAGTTTGAATTCTGATGTATTTTCTCTTGTTTTTCTCCTCCTTTCTTCTTGATTAAGAAACCTCCTAATTAGGAGTTATCCCAATCCAAATCTGTATTTGGATAGGGGATTATCTCAATCCTATCTGCAGTTTAAGTTAGTTTACTCCTGATCTTATCAGGAGGTTACCAGATTCAAATCTAATTTGAATTTGGTCTCCTGGAGTGGATAAGGTTAAAGG